ATCACTACGAACACAAATAAAGGCAAGAAAACGAAAAATGGCTTAATCAAACTATTTGTCAAAACACCTTAACTAAAGAATAGCGGATTATTAGTCCTGTTACTCCTTCATCAGCTCCATGGGCAAAACATGATGATCACAGTACTCACAAACCCCTTCACTATACGAATTCAAGAAATGGTGCTGCGTCTATGGTTACTCATTCAACTGTCTGATTTCAAAGGAATAATCAACACCCTAATTTTTCTTGAGGATTATTGGTCCGAATTCATCTAATACATCTAGTTCGTCTTCTCTTTCTACTCTCCTGCTGTTAGTACACCAGTATGGCAGTCAAACAATTCTGCTCCTAAAAAATCGGAAAAATTCTGAAAGAAGAAGTAAGAAAAAATTAAAAGACGCAACGAGCTTTATTTTATCTAATTCTGGAGTTATATCAGCTGTCACAAATAGTATGGGAAAACGCTATGCAGTCGCAGGAAATGGAGCAAAGGTAAGAATCAAATTTTAAAAATATGAATTATAATAAATTCTTGACATACTTTTTATTATTATTATTAAACTTATAGAAACCCGGACCTATTTCTATGAATACTGCTACAAATCTTATTAATTTCAAAAAAATTTTGTATCGCGTTCATTATATTTGTCATAATGTCTAAGAAAAAAGTATCCTACTCAAGAATATAACAAATTAGCACTTGTTTTGTGTGGCAAATATGTTTGAATTATAATGAACTATTTATTATCTTTTAAATACTGTCAATGTGATTTGAGGAAATGACTTGAATACAAAACACGAGATTTATAATGAGTTATAACTGTCTGAATTAAGTGAAGCTAATAGAATTTATTTATATAGAATGTATTTTCTCAAAAATTCAAATATAGTTTCAGTAAATCTACCAAAAACTTACAAATCTAATACCAAATCAAATCAAGCATCAAGACTAACTAGATCTAATTCTTCAGCTAAAAATTCTAGAGAAATAAATAATAAATGATGACAATGATGTTGATGAAAATGATGATGATGATGAGAACCAATATAATGATTAAGTAATGAAGTAAAAGAAATTAATAAAGTAGAATTTAAGAAAAATCTGATAAATAATGAAGAGGAGAATAAATTTTGGGTTTTGAAATGGAAGATGATGTGGAATTGGATGTTAAAGTTGAAGTAGATAATTCTGAAATTGAAGAATCTGAAGATGAACACATAGAAATCTCATTTAAATTAGTAATTAGAAGAGAGGTTAAAAACAGTGCAGAAAAATGAAATACTATTATCAAACAAATAATTTTTTTTTTTTTTTATAATATGGAAGTTTTATATAATCTTTATTAATTTTATGGATTTATACAAGTATAAAAAAATAAAAAATATAAAAATATCTACCTAGAAAGTAAAAAAATTAAATTATAATTAATATCAATTTTGTATTATATTAGATTAAAATTAAGTAAACTTATAATAAAGAATTAATTATCCAGTATAAAAATGGTTTTCATAATTATTTTTAAATTTTATTTGAGTTGCAATCTAATTGTAATATTAATAAATTTAATTGTAACATGAGTTACAATACAATTGCAATATTTTTTGATAATTACAACATCATCTTTAGTCTAGCATAAGGGATGTGATTATTTTCTAATTAAAAATTTGATTAATTAAAACTTAAATTAACAGAGTTGATAAATAAAATTGGATGAAAATATAGAGTAATGTGAGTTGTTGAAGGAAAATCAGAGGCAACCCAAAGATTAAAATTAGTTTTATAAACATTATTGATACTAGAGCTTCGAATCAGATCAGGTCAACCTGTGACCCGACCCGACCTGACCTGAAAAATCCAGGTCGGGTAGACAAATTTTCAGATCAACATCAGGTCGGATCAAGCTTATGACTCGACCTGATAAAATTCAGGTCAACCAATCAAATTAAACGAAATAAAATATTTAAAAAAAAGTTTTTTTTTATCTATTTTTTTTTTAAAACATCTTTAATTTATTTAATATACTTTCTTTTTATATTATAATAAAGTTGTTTGTATAATTACTTTGTAATTTATTATAATCAAAAA